ACTACTTTAAAATGTCTACTAAATTTGAACATGGCACAGCTCTGATCCAACAGTTCCGTTTCTGGGTATACACCCAACATGGCCTGTGCATTTATCTGCAAGTGTGAATATTTCAATAAATAGCACTGTGTGCCAGAAAGTGGCAATAAGGCACCACAGAAGGATTTGACATTTCTGAGGCCTGAGAAGGATTTGAGAGACATGATCAGATTTGCCTTAGGAAGATTAATCCTTGGATTTGCAGAGGATGGCAAGGAGAGGAGCTAAGAAGTTGTTTGTAGAGGTAATCCAGCAATTATGAAGTCCAGGATTAAAATAAGAGAGACAGGGATGAAAAGGACAGAGTATAATTCACATTTGCAGAGCAAACACAGAACTTGGGCAGGTCACTACAGTTCTCTGGGCTTTTGGTTTCTTCACTTGAAAAACCATTGACAGTACCTACTTCACTGATGATTATTTTGATGACTTAATTAAGGCACGCGGGGCGGAGGGTGGTGGTTAACGATTGTTAAAAAAAAAAAATTAATTCTCACTGCATGCTATGCAGAGCAAGACGTAGGTTTGGAGATCAGAAAGCTTTTAAAGAAATATCTTAATTTGGCAAGGTCTATGGAAGCCTGTTTTCCCCCAGGCACAGGTAAAGACAGCTCCCTGCCCAGGACAGGGTCAGTTTGGGGACACAGGTTAGAAAACTAAGGTTAGGAAGGAGACAAGACATGCTAGAATCCGGGCAAGAAATGATTCTAAAATGCCACGGGTGAAGAGGTGGGATTCTACTAGGGCAACCCAGGCTCTCGCACCAGGAACTGGGGGAAAGGGTAGGCGTTTCTTCTCCTGCTCCCCACCTTCTCAGCTGAGAAGCGGGGCCTCTGAGTGCGGCGAGGATTCAGACGGAGGAGGCGACGTTGGCTCCGGAAAATATGCCAATGGGACCCGAGCTTTCCCGTGCTTAGCCAGTTGGGTGCGCCCGGAACCGCCTCCATGTGGTGATTGGCAGGCCGCGTCCCGGGGTTCTCGCGGCCTGTGGGAGCGTGTCAGAACTCTCGCGAGGGTGCAGGTCTTCCACCGGCTTGGGACACTGGGTCTCATGGCTGGGGGCCTCGTGTGCCTCGGCCCCTAGTGGCCTCCATTCGCTCGCCACGCCGAGCCGCGGGGCTTTGAGGGGCAGTGGGCGTGGTCAGGGAGTTTGACGAGCCGCAGGCAGAGAGCTGCCAGTCTCGAACCCCGGACCCGCGGCGCCCGAGGCGGAGGTGAGGCCAGGCCCGGGCCGTGGGGTCGCTTAGCCGCCCGGTCTCGGGTTTTCCCTCGCGGTTCCCTGCCTTCCCCTCCGCGGGGCGGAGATTCGCTGTTGGCGCGGCTCTGCTGCCGCTTGGCGGGAGGACCCGAAGCTAGTAAAGCGCGACCTGATTGGGCCCTGCCGGGCACTGACGCTCGCTCCGTCTATTGAACGGCTTGCGGCCTCGGAAGGGACATTTGCATTAAAAACGGTGGGTGAGTTGGTGGCACTCTGGTTACCGCGCTTGAGTGCTCGCAGGAGAGTGAGATAGAATGCTGAGAGGACTGAACCGCCTCGCTTAAATGGTCGGTTCTTATTCCAGCCTGTTTCTCGCTCGTGATGATTTGACTGATAGTTAAGTGAGGGTAAAGTCACATCTACATTTTGAAGTTCGTTTCTAATGGAAACACTTAAAGCAGTAATGCAGATTCCTCCAGTAATGGGGAGTGTCAATATGTATTGAATTCTTGCACTTGGCAAACAACACAAAGTTATCTTCAAGTATTTTACACTTAATACTAACTAAAAGTCTTGTGGCCGAGTCTGTTTTCACTGCAGAAAAAGCACGGCCAAAGGGGTAAAAGGTAAATGGGGATCTCGAATACTGAGCCCTGTACATACCTGAATATTCACGTACTGTTGTGAAAAGTGGTAGAAAATAGCAAATGTTGAGGTTAGGCCTCCTGGTATGTACCCAAAAGAACTGAAAGCAGATTGTAGACAACAGCATCCATTCTCTTGTTATGCATTTGGCCTATTGATAGAACACGTTTCAGCTGACCACAATGCTTTCTAGGTTGCCAGCTAATTTTGTGAGTAGACGACAATTTGTTTTTCAACCATAAAAACGAGTGACCATTATTTAGAGCAAAAATTTCGTATTAAACTTTGTATAAAGCTAAGTGTAAATCTGCGAGACCCTTGAAATGTTACATATAACTTATGGTGAAGAAGTACCGTCAAGAGCTAGCCTCTGACTAGCATAGAAGGCAGAGATGAAACCCAGGACAAGGCAAGCAGATTGCAGTTACCCATATTACACATGAACAGTTGAGGGTAAGGAATTTGGCTTGCTGAAAGTCAATTAACTAAGAAAAAAAATGAGTAAAAAGCTAGATTAATACAGACTCATTCTGAAAGGAAACGTGCACCCGAGGGAAGTCCCGGGCAAACTATTGTGGGCAGTGATCCTGTAGAAGTCTAACCAAAATAGGGCTGTGCCAGAGCCTGCCACTTGGGTGCATATTTAGGGAACCCCAAGTTGCTTCAGTCGTGTTCAACTCTGTACTACCCCATGGACTGTAGCCTGCCTGGCTCCTCTGTCCTTGGGGGTTCTCCAGGCAATACTGGAGTGGGTTGCCATGCCCTCCTCCAGATCTTCCCAACCCAGGGATCGAACCAACATCTCCCACATTGCAGGTGGATCCTTTACCTTCTGAGCCTTCAGGGAAGCAGGGAGTTAAGCCAGAGATAATGGGAACATCTCAGAAAGAGTGGCCACTTTTAGGCAGAAATATTCAGACTTGTAGTAATGGAACTTTTTTGTTGTGTCAAGTATTAAAAATAGGCATTCAAATCTGTCAGCAAGAAAGGAACAGTGGGGGGGGGGGGGGTTATACTTCCACCCTATTCAGCTCTACAACTTGGTGTGGTGAGCTTTGACCCTAACTTCTTTGAAAGCAATGAGGTTCAAAAGGCATTACTGTGAATGGCAACATGTAAACAACACACAGTCTTTTCAATAATTTTTATTTATTGATTGTGATAGTCCCACAAGAATATTGAAATTCAGTAAGTTTTTTATTCAGAAACGGGTCTGCCCATCTACTTCACAATCTCTAGGATGAAGCTGCCAGGATTCAGTATCAGAATTTGTTGCAACCTGTGTGCTGAGTCACAGCACTGTGCTGTGCTTAGTCACTCAGTTGTGTCTGACCCTGCGACCCCATGGACTGTAGAATTTTAAATAACAAATTCCTGGTTATTTAAAAAATTTTTGGAAAAGCAACATATGAACAGGACGGTACCAGTTGCAGCTGCTTCCTGGGAGAGGGGGGAAATCTGTGGCAGACCCAAGGTTTCCACCTGTCTGCCCAGCCCACGTGACGCCTCAAGGGACAGAGAACCACCAGCAGGGCTCAGTGGAGTGAAGCTTCCTGTGCAACCAGTGGTTACCCTTGGAAACTTGGCTAGCACCCTCAGACTTTATCCTTAGCATTTGAAGTCACCTCATCTAGGCCTTTAGTCTACCAAATACCGTCTCCACCAAAATGCTAGTCACAGGCCTTTACACTGGAGGCCTCCATCAAAGACCAGCTGCAGTTACATACTCTGATCTGCTTTGTTCACAATACCCAGAATAGGTCTTGGCCCATAGCAGGTATGCTATTATTTTTTTTAACGAACATTAAAGCCAGCATCTTAGTACCATATACATATCAAGTATCAGTATTTTCATTTTGATCTAAATTACAGTGACCATACAGTATTATCAAAATGATCCAATAGCACTACTAAGTGCCCACTACTCACTGTGTATAAACTGTTTATAAACTGTTATGTACTGGGTATAAACTCCAGTAACTATCATCAACTTAAGAGTTAGGCTAGACTGAGCAACTAAACCACCACCACAGATAAAGAAATTGAAGTTAAGAACTGGTCAGAAATCATTTAGGATGGGGATTTGAATCTAGGCTCTTATTAACTAGGCTCCACTCCTAAGTAAGCCACTTACTTCAGTGTGATTTATAAGACAATTCAACACAATTAACAATAGTATTAAACTGAATTATAAATGATACTGCTCCTTGTACTATAGTCACCATGTGTTTAGAGCTAAGTATTTGAGAACTTATAATACGCCAAGTATTTGGTCAGACCCCAGGAATATGGTGGAAACCAAGATGGACTTTATGGGCAGGGGCAGGTAGGCAAGCTCACAAGAAACTACTGAATGTGCTCCTAAGTATGAGGGCATTACAAGCTGCTATAGAAATCCAGAATAAGAGCACTGGGGAGGGAAGATGGCACTTAATAGAAACGTGGGAAAGTATATAGATGGCAGGGGGCATTGTAGGTTAAGTGATGGCATTCAGAGGTCCGACCGGCCAGAAAGCAAGCTGCCGTCTTAGAATGGTCTCAAATATCTACCCCAGCCCTGCACACAAACTTAAGGCCACTTCTCTGCAGCTTCACCTTGCTTTCCCCACAAACCTTTAAACATACCCCTCCCCAGGGCCTTTGCACTTGCTCTCCCTCTGCCTGAAATCCTCTGCATCCAAACATGTACAGGTGACCTTTGTATAATAAAGGAGTTAATCTGAATAATTTATAGAGGGCCCTCCACATCCACAAATTCAACCATGTAGTAATATAGTATCCACTACTGAAAATACCTGTGTATAAGGGGACCCATGTAGTTCAAACCCATGTTACTCAAAAGGTTGACTGTAACAACCATGTTACCTCCTGCAGCCCTTTCAGGTCTTCTGTAGTTAGTATCGCGAGCTCCATCTGAAATTATGTCCTCCACTCACAGTACATACACACGCCTTACCTATTTCCCTTGTCTTTTTCCCTCTAGCAATTACGCTTTTACAACATATTTGTTGAATTTCCTTTATTAGGAGGCTGGATTTTACAGAATATGGAATATTAAAAAATGAAATTTACACAGAGGCTAAAACAGTGTTTTGGTTTTTTTTTTCATTTATTTTTATTAGTTGGAGGCTAATTACAATATTGTAGTGGTTTTTGTCATACATTGACATGAATCAGCCATGGATTTACATTAAAACAGTGTTTTGAAATAAGCATTAAGAGTGAATCCAAGGCAAATACCTTTAAGATTTCTGGAAAATGAGGTATCTGCAAACATTCAGAGCTGATCAACAGGAAGAATTCCTAGCTCCTACTAGGCTATTAATTTTGCTACAATGACATTTCTTCCTATATGAAAACTTTCCCATCATCACCTCCAATACTTTCAAAATTCTAACAATGTAGCATCATTGTGTCCTTTAAATTCCTTCTTATAGCTCACTGTGCTACATTCAGCAGCAACATTTAACATGCTGAAGAATGGTCCCTTTGTGCCAAATTTTGATATACATTCTCAGTAAGTCTCTAATCCTAACTCCCTCCTGAAATGGCCTAATCTCTTTGAATACTTCTACTGTTACAAGAGGACACTAAATCTCAAGAGATACTTGACTTTCCAGTTTACATGGCCAAAAAGGTACATATGAGGCTCCTTGTTTAGGGCTATGCATATGTGATGGAATATTAATTCACTACCTGAACTATTGCTTCACCTATCATTTTACACTACCCACTTCATAGGTCTGGGAGAATTAAACCACCAGCATTATCCCACTGACCCAACTCCTATGCCAATGCAGATCCATAGCTGCTACAAGTTATGTGAGAACAGCTGGCCTCACTAGACGCACTTGTGTGTGTGCGCTGCAGAGGGATCTAGTTGGTGTGGGTCAGTTAGAACACCAGCATCAGGGGGCACTCTGGCTTCACTGGCTTGTACCTGTAGTTTTCAACCTAGAAAAATAAATGTTTCAAAATTACCTTCTTGAATAGAAAATTTGTACACGTGTTCCATCATCTAGATTTTTTCCCACCATCAGAGGTGACCAAAGTACCCAAACTGCCTTGTATTTTTGAACACACTAGGTGGGACCCCCAGAGGAACCTAAAAATCAGGCCTGAAAGTACTGTCAAACCAAAGGTCAAGTTTAAATTTAATGACTTTGATATTAACTACACACATACTGGTAAGTGCTAAGACTTAAAATCTTCCGGTTCAGTTGTGACTCCAGACAGGATCCAGAGAGGAGTTCTAAAAGTCTCTTCTCTGGGTTTTATGGAGACTTCCTCTACCCTCCTGTGTTAGCCTCTTAAGGCACTGCGTCAGCCTTAAAAGGGCACTGGAAAGGGCGATCTGGGTTCCTCACAGGGCTCTCTACGAGTTCCTGCACTCCTCTTAATATCCGTGGACCTCAGCAGTTTCTTTAGCCAAGTCCTAAAACCCACTAGAAGCAGCTGTTCTGCTGGGTGAAGACAGTAAACGTCCATTTCTTTTAAAAGCCTGATCTGAGCCTTTGCATGGAAAATACGAGCTTGGGAACCCTCCGGTCACCATTAGCCACGTGCTCAGGCCTGGGTCATCTTACTTTCACTTAAGGACAGGGTTGTAAGGAACAGGCGGGGCATTTTGGGTAATCTTTACCTGAGATGGCATTTGCAGTTGAGCAGGGGGTGGAAAGTTCCACGCTGATGCAATCTGCCTGGAGTATTGGGGTGGGGCTTAAAGTTCACTTTTGTTTTCCCCAAAGTCAGGTGGTTCAGCAAGGGCCCTTGAGGTAGACATCTTCTTTTTCTAGGCCTGAGGACTCCTTCATTCCAGATCCTGAAAAGGATGGGAAAAGGGTGCCGTATCTCTCTGGCTACTTCCTGTTGGATAGGGGCAACAGTTTTGGGGTCTGGAACAGAGGATTGTTATAGGGCCCAGGGTTTCATTTTTCCAATGTTGAGGTGAGGCTCTCAAGAAGAATGGCCTTGACTTGGTCTTGAGAGATGGCCTGAATCTGGTCTTGGAGAAAACTTTGTAAGAGACTGAAGAAACAGGTCCAAATAAAAGTACTTATGGCTCCAAGAAAGGGAGTAACCACGGGAGGGCCAGTTGGAACAGGCTGTGGAGAGTTGAAAGATTTTATAACTCTTCTGATTCTGTTTCTAAGTTCTCTGACCTTACCCTGGACTATGCCTGTTTCGTTAACAAAAGAGCAGTAGTCTTCTCCCAGGAAAAGGCAGGTTCCTCGCTTTTCTGTGGTGAGAAGGTCCAGGGCTCGTCTATCCTGTAGGGCCACAGAAGCCAGTGAGTTCATTTGTCTTTGGACTGCAGCAAAGAACTCCACCACCAGTTCCACGTCCTCATTAAGTTCCCGGGACAGTGTGCAGTAGAAATGGGCCGAGGACGAGATGCCCCTGATGCTGGTGCCGAGCCGCCGCTGTGCCAGTCCCAACCAGGAGGGGGGCCGGGACAGCCCGTTTTTTCCTGTGGGAATGTTTCACCTGGGGATCGACCGCTTGTTCTATCTCTTTGTCTTTTAGGATGGTAAGACCTTGGTCACAAAGACCAAGATGCAAGGTCCAGGGGGCTTGGGGTGAAGACATGAGTAGGCGTAGGTCCCTCGGAGAGTGAAGATTCCCAGGCTGGTGCAATTCCTTGTGCTGTCCCAGAGAACCCAAGTGGAACAGAAGGAGGGTGGAGTCTGTGAGGCCGGTGGTGTTGGGACTAGAGTAGTTGACACAGGTTAGGTTTGAAGGGGCCGAGAGGAGGATATTGTCAGAGACTGGCCCAATGAGTCGTGTGGCGTTTTGTTGGGGAGGGAAGGTATAGTTGCCCTGTGACAGCCACAATGTGTAGTGACGGAGACTGCGACATGCATATCCAGCACTGCGATGTGTAGCGTGTGTTCTCGAAGAATTGGAAGGAGTTAAGGAGGGTAAGATGTCAGTTGTCAGAGGGAGGATTTAGGAGGAGCCGTAATTGGGAAAGGAGGTCTGGGCGTCTATAGGGCTCAGGGGTCGCCTGTAACTGGGAGATTCGGTTTTTTATAACCTGTTCTTGATTCTTTTTACAATCAGATTTCTTATAAGCTGTTCTTGGTTCTTTTTACGCTGTTGATCTTGCGCCCCTCCCCCGTCTGAGTACCCCCAGTGGGTAGTGGGGTAGAAACAGATGTCTTTCCCATTTGGCTTATAGCAACTGCTCACAGCACTCCCTGTCTTCTGTACCTTAACAGTGAACAGGGATTTGGACTTCCCCGCCCCGATGTTCATGGTGCATGGCTTAGGGGCCGTGTTATAGCATGAGGAATGGACAAAGGAATGAATTTCATCACAGGGGCAGGAACTAGCCAGAAGGCCGGGGAGTGTAGCAAGGATAAGGAACAGGGGAGTCATGGGTCTGGTAGTTAGACAATGAGGAAGAAATAGAATCCTGACAGCGTAGGTGGCATTGACAGAGACGGAGGATGGATGACCAGTCTAGAGGGGAGACAGTTGTTAGGCCTATAGCAAGGGCTAAGGTTAAGAGTGCGGTTATGGCTAGAGAGATGGGGAGAGGCCAATCTGGCGAGAGGCGGAAGGCCCCAAATTTGTGGTAGCTTGAATCTGGGGAAGACGAATTGGATGTAGAATGATGTAGAGGACGAGAGTAAAGAAATAAATTTCGTCTAGAGTTAGGTTGTAGAAGGTTCCCTTAAGCCACAGTTCAGACACCAGCGTGGTCAGGTCCTCGAAGGTTTCTGTCAGGGCGCTGGTCCAGAGGTCTTGTAGTAGTCACGTCAGGAGCAGCTGTAGGTTGAAGAGTGTCCAGGTCATTCAGTGTCTTCTTGGATGATCGACAGAGGTTGTCGCCGGGTGATTTTTAAGGAGGTGGGCCCTGTGAGGGAGACCTGATAGGCATCAGTTAAGGAGGGCAGTACAGGATTGGAGGCAACCCTTTTTAGGCGAGAGGTGTACCAGGAAGCAACCTTTTTGAGCTTAGCTGCAGTTGGGATAAGGAGGATGATTCTGAATGGTCCCTGCCACTTTGGGGTTAGGTCACCCTGGGGATCTTCAGACAGATAGACCATGTCCCCAGTTTGTAGAGGGGGCGAGGGGGCTTGGGGGTTAGGAGCAGGCAAGTTGTGGCTGACGTATTTCCAGAAGGCACTGTGGATTTCTGCTAGCAGAGGGGAGTGTAGGGAGTTTGGTATGGGAGGAGGTTTAGGGGGAAGTCTGGGAGGGCTTATGGGTCTTCCATACGTAAGGCTTTTCTGGGCAAAGCTTGCACTTTTAGAACGACTGGCAAAAGTTTAGTCCAATCTAGATGCACCTGAAGGGATAATTTGGTAAGAGTTTCTTTAATTATCCTGTTCATCCTTTCTACCTTCCCTGAGAAAGGGGACAATATGGAATGTGAAATTTCCAGGGGATCTCTAAGAATTGGACAAGTTGTTGGGTGACCTTGGACACGCATTCTGGGCCATTATCAGACTGTAGATGGCGGCAAGCCAAAGCTGGGGTGATTTCTGTGAGGAGGACCTGGGCCAGTGTGGGCTCTTTTGTTTGTGGTGGGAAATGCTTCTACCCATCCCGAAGAGGTGTCTGCAAGGACCAGGAGACATCTGACTCTCCGAACTGGGGGCATATGTCTATCTGCCAATCCTGTGCTGGGAGACTGCCTTGCATCTGATGGGTTGGAAAGGATGTAGCTTTAAGGTTGGAATTGGGATTAGTTCGTTGACATGTCTGACAGGAGTGGGTAAGGTCATCTAAATGTTTTTGGTTGGCAGCTGATATGGGGAAGTAGTTGTGGATGAACTGCTGGAGTACCTTGGATGAAGGATGGAAGAGTGAGTTTAGACAGGAGAGAATTTCTCTGGTGGGAGGGTCGGGTGGAGTCAGGGCTAAAATGGCAGGGGACTGGGGGCAGGGATAGGACAGGGCTACCGCCTTTGCCTTGTGGTCTGCAGCATTGTTGTAGGCTGATAGACTTCCCTTTTGATGTCCCCTGCAGTGGAGGATGGCAGCTCTGTCATCTGTAAGAGTGTGGCCTCTAGAAGTTTGTGGATGAGGTCGGAATAAATAATGGGGGATCCCTTCTGGGTGAGGAACCCTCTTTTCCTCTGTATCAGGATGTTTGAGTGAAGTATGTTATAGGCATATTTGGAGTCTGTGTAGATGTTAACTCTTAGATGTTTAGTCAGGGTCAAAGCTCTGGTGAGGGCTACTAGTTCTGCCTGTTGGGAGGTGGTATGAGGTGGCAGAGGTGAGGCGTCAATTATCTGTGTCTCGTGGCTGTGATGAAGGTTTCCCTGGATGACGGCATATCCTGCCGCAAAGGGTGGGGATTTTTGAGAGCTGCCATCAATGAACCAGTATGGGGTGTCAGGGTCTAAGATGGGCTGATCTGTCAAGTGTTGGAAGGGCTTTTGGGCAAGATCCACTGATGTAGGGGAAGGTCTGCTGTAGAAGGTGTGGGTAATAAACTGGCAGGGTTAAGGGGAGCGCAGGGAGAGAAAGAGAGTTGAGGATGGAGGGAAAAGGCATGCAGAACCTGTATCCTGGAAGGGGGAAGGGAGAGTAAAGCCCAGTGAGACAGCAGGTCTCAGAGGCTGTGTGCAGAGCAGACTGTCGAGGGGGCGTGTCTAGAGAATTGGTTCGCTTCGGGTACCAGGGCTGCAGTGGCAGCCACGGCTTGTATGTAGGGAAGCCACCCCTTGGTCACCAGGTCAAGTGGTTTTGATAAACAGGCTCTAGGAGTCTAGGCAGCCCCAGCCTGCTGGCATAGAAGCCCCAGGGCCTGTCCTTGATTGGAATGGGCAAAGAGAAAAAATGGTCTGGTATAATTTGGTAGGTGGAGAGTTGGCACTCGGAGGAGGCTCTCGGTGAGCTGGCGAACGGGAGGCCAGTGGGGAGGAGTCAAAGAGAGGTTCACCTGGGGACCCTTTGGTTGCCTCATAAAGCGGCTTTGCAACGAGGGAGAAATTGGGGATCCAGATACAGAGGATCTGTAGGAGGATCCTAGGAGGCCGAGGAGAGACACAAGTTCCTGTTTTGTTTTTGGGGGCAGGCAATCAATTAAGGCCTGGATTCTGTCTGGAGGAATGGTTCTTCATTGGTGGGATGAGGGAGTCCCAGGTAGGTGACGTTTGTCTGGGCTATCTGGGCCTTGGATCAGGACACCCGATAACCCCAAAACCCCAGGGCCCTAAGGAGTTTGGCAGTATGCTAGAAGCAAAGCTTTCAGGTTGCGCCACAAAGAAGGAGGCCATCTGCATACCGAAGGAGGTGACTCGGGGCCAGGCCGCGTGTCTGCAGGCCCTTCTGTAAGGGTCTCCCCAAGAAAGTGGGGCTGTCCCTGAGCCCTTGGAGAACTGTCCACGCTAGCTGCTGGGAAACATGAGTCTCGGGGTCTTGCCAGGTGAAGGCAAAGAGGGGTTGGGAGAGGGGATGGAGGGGGCTGGTGAAGAAGGCATCTTTAAGATCTAATACTGTGAAGAAGGCTATAGTTGGGGGAATGGCGGACAGAAGGGTGTAGGGATTGGGGACTACTGGAAGGTTGGTGTGATGGCTTCATTGATTTTTCATAGGTCTTGGACCAGTCTCCAAGAGTTTGGTCTCCTTTTTACTGCCAGAATGGGGGTGTTGTGTGGTGAATGTGTAGGAATTAAGATGGAGGCTTGAAGAAGACAGTCTGTGATATGCTTAAGTTCCTTGTGGGCCTCCGGGGTGAGAGAGTACTGTTGTTGGACGATTATAGCTGAGGGGTCCTTTAAGGTGATGTGGCCTGGGGTATGATACTTGGCTATGGATGGGTGACCAGTATCTCAGACTTGAGGGTCTACGGCAGGTAGGTCCAAGGGAAGATCAAGAGTAGGGGACAGGGATGGTCCAGGTGCCATCTGCATATAGAACAGAGACTGCACTGAGAGGGAGTATGGTAATAGAGACCCCTAATTTGGATAACAAATCTCTCCCTAGGAGCGCCATGGGGCACTGAGGCATTATGAGAAATGAGTATGAGGGTCAAGTTTCCAAACTGACAGAGTAATGGGAAGCTGATTCTTGGGCTCAGGGGGACTCCAGAGACCCCGTTGATTGTGAGCTCTGAATTTTGGGTTGGACCAGAGTAGGAGGTCACGAGAGAGAAGGTAGCTCCACTGTCTACTATGAGGGAGACCTTTCTCCCAGCCACTATCCCATCTAGCCTGAGTTCTGAGCTCGTGTCCGGGACATGGGTTCCGTCTCTGGAACAACTCTCGCAGGGTCGGGCTGGAGTTCTGGGAAGAGGTAGGGATAGTCCATCTTCCAGTGTCCCCAGTGGCCGCAGGGCGGGCCTGCTTTTGCCCAGTGTCCCGACCGGTTGCATCGGAAGCAGGGTCAGTTGTAAGCCCCAGTCTGGGATGACTTGGGCCAGGCTGATCTCTTCCCTTAATTGCTGCCACCAAAAAGGCCTTTCTTTCACAGTCTTTTTCTCCTATTATTGAACATTTTGAAGGCTACTTCTAGAAGGTGCCTTTGGGGAGGTTATAGGGCCCTTCTCTAGTTGTTTGTGTCTATAATGTCAGGGGTGGACTGGCTGATGAATTGAACATGGAGGTAAAGAAACCAGCAGGGGTGGTGATATGCAGGTTGTTATAATTTTGGACTGCCTCTGTGAGGCTCACCAAGAACAAGGCTGGATTTTCGTCCACCCCTTGGGTGATTTCCCTAACTTTATCGTAATTGACATGGATATGAGCATTTTTCTGCATGCCCTCTAGGAGGCAGGTGGCCATATGATTAAGCCTCCTGATGCCTGGGTCACTGGGCTGGTATGTCCAGTGAGCTTCTAGTTGCACTGACTCATCAGCAACTGGGTTGGTCCAGTCTTGGTTATGTAAGTGACTGGCGTGGGCTTTCACCGCTTGCCAGATATGTTTTTTTTAATCTGGATTGAGAGTGGCATTTAGGATATAATATGTCACTACACGTGAGAGTTATAGGCCTGGGTAAGCCTCGGGAACCCTTTTCTGTACCTGATAGTTTTCAGAAAATGATCCTAACTTTTCTTCTATCTGGCTCATGTCTGACAATGAAAATGGCATGTGGACTTGGGTGGGGCCCTCTGGTCCTGCCACCTCTCAGGGAAAACATGTGTTGAGTACCTGATCGCGTGGTGGGGGGTGGGAGGTGGGGGTAGTCGCGGGGTTGAGAAAGGCTCAGGAAAGGTTTCGGAGTCAGTAGGTGAGTTCAGTGAGGGGGAAGGAGGGGGTTGACAGCGTGGCTGGTAGGGAGGGGACTAGCCCGCTGGGGTCGAACTCTGGGGGTGCAGAAGGTCACGCGCGTGGCTAGTTGCACACGTGTGGCTGGTTGAAGCAGAAGGGTCCTTTTGTTTGGGAGGCAAGGTGCACAGAAGGACCTCGTGGGTGGAACAGGACTTCCATAGGGAGCGCCTGCTCTGAAGGGCCCAAAAGGCTTGGGCATAGGGGACCTCTGACCACTTGCCATCCCGTTTGAGGAAGCTGATAACATCCTGAAGAATGTAAAAGTCAAATGTGCCAAATTCAGGCCAGTGGTTTTGATTGTCTAATTAGTACCGAGGCCAGATCTGCATGCAGAGCCGTTCTAAGTGGCTAGCCTTGAGTTCAGTGAGTAAGAGTGGTTTGAGGTTTTTGAGGACGCAGGCCAGAGGTGAATCTTTCGGCACAGACTGGCCGGACCCCATGATCAGGAGGCAAGCGGAGGGTCCTATTCCGAGCTTGGGTCATCACCCGTAGTCACAATAGGAGTTATGAAAAGAGAGCTCACTATCAAGGCAGAGCGTCCCCCACCGTCGCTTACAGAGTGGTCTTAGGCCGGCGGTCCCCGGGACCAGAGAGGACAGTATACTAGGGTACCTCTAGAACACTATCCGGATCTTACCTTAATGTAGGGGCCGGAGTGAGTGAAATGTCGGATGCGGAGCAGTCGAATGGCAAGAGTTCCCTGTTCCGGAGGTCGTCAGAGAGAGAGAGAGAGAGAAACAAGAGAAGACACGAGTGCCTCGCCCTTTCCGGGGTTTCAGCACCAAAAAATGAAAGGAATAGTTCGGGAGGAGGCAAAGAAGAAAGGAAGACGACCTCAACGAAGACAGGTTACCTTTATTCAGGCAAGGAGGGGCGACAACAGGCCTAACGACCACGCTGAGCTGAGCACGAAGGGTCAGGGAGGCTGCGAATTTGGGTAGGGGGGTGGGTTGCGGAAGTGATACGGGAAGTTTTAGTCAGGCGGGGCGTTTTGGGTTAATCTTTAGCTGAGATGCCATTTGCAACTGAGCAGGGGGCGGGAAGGTCCGGACGGCGGGGGTAAGTGCTTGGCTCATGCCATTATCTTTTTCTAGGCCCGAGGACTCCTTCAAGAGTCATACCTGCGGTTAGTACTCAGGCCGCTGCAGCCGGCAGTCGCTGGAGATCAACTCCCCAGGCCCGCGGTTGGTTCAAGATCCGCTGTAGCCGCCGCAGTCTGGGTGGGGCACGACCCCGCCACAAAGTAGCCGCGGCTGCACCCTGGGGAAGCAAAGCGCAAACTTGTAACCGCGCCCGAGTCGGCCAGGCTGGAAGCCTCCGGGCGACTCGGCGCGGCGCAGTGTGCCTCGCGCGGCCCCGGGACGGGCACCGCCGCCCGCCTCTCCCGGGCCGCCGAGGGCTGCTCTACCCCTGCGTTCTGGCCGCCGGGAGCAGTGGCGCTCCAGGCGGGCAAAGCTCGAGGGGACGAGGGACGAGGGGCGAGCCCAGCCCCACCCGGCCCGCGTGCCCACCCCACTGCACAGACCAACACTCACCGCCCAATTCGGCTAGACTGAGGCCGGGGCGCGTGTGGCGCGCCGAGACAATGCGAGCGGGGCGGGGCGGGGCGTGAGCAGGGCATCCGGGGCGGGACGGCCGGGGCCGGGTAGCCAATCCCGGGAATCCTCCGGACGTGGGCGGGGCTGGCCGGGCCGCGGTCTCTGGCTAGTCCGGTTACTGCAGGTCTTTCCGTGGCGGGAGGACGAGGTACGCCTCCGCTGAGTGTTCTACTCAGATGCTCTAGGAGTCTTGGCGCGTTCCTAGGCCTTGGTGCTCGTGGATCTGGTTCTCTCGGCCAAGGGCCTTTCCTTGGACTGCCCTTAGGAGGCTCTGGCCGACCCCGAGATTCCCCTTCCCTTAGCTACACTTAGAGGCCAGAGCCACTTGAACAAGCTCACTCCATGGTCCCTCCTAAACCTGGAGGACCAGCCTTTCTTAGTGTTCTCTGTTCACTCATTCACAGTGTTCAATAAGTAAATTGGGGTGGGGAGCGGGCCGTGGGCGTGAAAGGGGAGGGTGTTGGTGGTGAGTGGGGGCGGGTGGGCAAAGAGGCACTATAAATCTTTCCTAGGTGACAGGTCTCAAACTTGGCAAACAATTAACTGGATTAAAATTGCAGTATATGCTAAAATGAGAACTTCTATTACAGTTTTGTCATCTGTTAAATTTAATTCTCAAAATACTTTTAATCATCCCCACATTATAGGTGGGGAAACCCAGACAAGTCCAGTAACTTTCCAAAGTCATAGAGCAGCAAACAAGTGGTGAATCTGGGATTTGAATGCGTTTTGAAGGCTGCTGCTGCTGCTGCTAAGTCACTTCAGTCGTGTCCGACTCTGTGCAACCCCAAAGGTGGCAGCCCACCAGGCTCCCCCGTCCCTGGGATTCTCCAGGCAAGAATACTGGAGTGGGCTGCCATTTCCTTCTGCAATGCATGAAAGTGAAAAGTGAAAGCGAAGTCGCTCAGTCGTGTCCTACGAAGTCGCTCAGTCGTGTCCTACTCTTCACCACTCCATGGATTGCAGCCCAACAGGCTCCTCTGCTCATGGGATTTTCCAGGCAAGAGTGCTGGAGTGGGGTGCCATTGCCTTAAGGACAGAGCCTCTCAAAACACCACACTACATTACTCTCCCCAGGTGGGTGCAGTGGGTGGAAGGAAAACAAATGGCGTAGGTTTGAATGGCTGACCAAGGTATCCATCTCCAGTGGAGCTGGGGGTCTGCAGGCACAGAGAACAGCTTGTGATAGAGCCCTGAGATAGAATGGAAAGTGCTTGACCTGTTCATTGGAAGGACTGATGTTGAAGCTGAAACTCCAATATTTTGGCCACCTGATGCAAAGAGCTGACTCATTTGAAAACACCCTGATGTTGGGAAAGATTGAAGGCTGGAGAAGGGGACAACAGAGGATGAGATGGTTAGATGGCATCACCAACTCAATGGACATGGGTTTGGGTGAACTCCGGGAGTTGGTGATGGACAGGGAGGCCTGGCGTGCTACGCGGTTCATGGGGTCGCAAAGAGTTGGACACGACTGAGCGATTCAGCTGAACTGACCTGTTAAGGACCCCAAAGTGCAAACAGAACTTAAGGACGTAGGAGCAGAGTGACCTGAGAAAAGCACGGGGCCACACCATGCAGGAGCCCTGGCAGACTTTGTGTTTTATGCTGAGAGCAAATGAAAAACTGTTCAAGCATTTTGTTTTTTATCTATTTTTTATTGGAGTATAGTTGATTCACAGTGTGTGTTTCTGTCGTATACCAAAGTGGATTGGTTATCTATGTACATATATTGACTCTTTCTTGGATTCTTTTCCCACATAGGTCCATAGAGCATATTGAGTGGAGTGCCCTGTGCTATACCGTAGGCTGTTGTGCGACTGCGTGAGTGCTCAGTCGCTTCAGTCGTGTCTGTCCCTCCAACCCCGTGGACTGCAGCCCACCAGCCTCCTCTGTCCTGGGGATCCTCCAAGCAAGAATACTGACTTAAGAGGATTGCTGTGCTCTCCTCCAGGGGGTCTTCCTGATCCAGGGATTGAAACTGTGTCTCATGTCTCCTGTGTTAGCCAATTGCACTTTCTAAAAATGGCCAATTGCCTGCACTTTCTAAGGAGCCCCCAAGTCCTCTGGACAAAAAAACTGCTGGGAAGTGATCTGCTTTCTCTACTCTCTTTGGGATGGAATATATATCACATGCTCTTCTTTTATACTGTCTTGCACAGAAATGCATAAATCACAGTATCTTCCTCAGACCTTTTTTAATCTACTTTTCCCCCTTCAGTGTTGAAAAGTCATAATAAACCTGAAACCTCCCTAGTCTCTTCATTATATTTGTGTGGTAAAGCTCACAGTTGATGTTAGAAAAGAGACATCCATGTATAAAGAAAGATCCATGTTAAAAGTAAAATGGGGGAAGACCCAGAGGAATCAGGTGGAGAGGGAGGTGGGAGGGGGGATCGGGATGGGGAATACATGTAAATCCATGGCTGATTCATGTCAGTGTATGACAAAAACCACTACAATATTGTTAGTAATTAGCCTCCAACTAATAAAAATAAGTGAAGGAAAAAAAAAAGTAAAATGGATTTAACCAGCAACTTGAAAATTACCTGTAATGTATTTCTTTGTAATTTTTTGTGCTTGTATTGATATTTATTTGCAATTTAAAAAATAATTTATTGTTGTTCATTCATTTGTTTATTCACTGTTTTATATCTCATTTTAGCCCAAGAAGAATTTGAATGTAGCTTACAAGAATATATTACAATTCTATTTTAAAAACACAGTGAGAAAATTGGATTGCAGGGAAATTAAGATAAAGTCTGGGGCTGGTACAGAAACTATAACCCCCCATGACGCTCTGTTCACTTGCTGGAAAAAGGCCAAAAATTTTGCTCTGAGCTGCCTACCAGTCAATTCAAAAACTAGAAAATGGAAACAAATCAGACACTCAAGAGAAGCACAAAGATTCCTGAAGGAAATTTCCTCTGTGGATCTTCATAATGAGGGCACTGCAACCAACTTCCTCAATATAAAAAACCTAAAAATATATAGTTCACATGTTCAAGATTTTTGACCCCCGGGCAGACAGTTTCCTAGTCAAGGTGATTTGACATGCTTAAACTTATTTAAAGTAATTATTTTCTTCCAAGTCCTAATTATCATGTGATAGGAGGGTCATCAGGCCACATGCATCTGAGAACAAAATTGTACCTGATTATGAAGCAAATAGTCTACACTCTGTAACACTGAAATCAGTGATACAGATAGTACGATCTGAAAGAAAGATGTGGTAATTTGGGTTAATTCCCTGATCAAAGATTCATCATTAAGTTGAGTGTGTGTGTACAGTAGTAGATTTTTAAGACAACTAAATCTGTAACAACATTATAGAATTAGGAAGTTCTCAACAATAAAATCTTAAAAAAATTTTTTTTACATTAAAAATTATTTATTTTAATTGGAGGCTAATTACTTTACAATATTGTGGTGGTTTTTGCCATACATTGACATGAATCAGCCACGGGTGTACATGTGTCACCCTCATCCTGAACACCCCTCCCACCTCCCTCCCCGCCCCATCCCTCTGGGTTGTCCCAGAGCACCAGCTTTGAATGCCCTGCTTCATGCATTGAACTTGCACTGGTCATCTGTTTCACATATGGTAATACACCTGTTTCAGTGCTATTCTCTCAAATCGTCCCACCCTCGCCTTCTCCCACAGAGTTTAAGTCTGTTCTTTACATCTGTGTCTCTTTTGCTGTCTTGCATATAGGGTCATCGTCACCATCTTTCTAGATTCCATATATATTTGTTAATATACTGAATTGGTGTTTCTCTTTCTGACTTACTTCACTCTGTATAATAGGTTCCAGTTTCATCTACCTCATTAGAACTGACTCAAATGCATTCTTTATAGCTGAGTAATATTCTGTTGTGTATATGTACCACAACTTCCTTATCCATTCGTCTGCCGATGGGCATCTAGGTTGCTTCTATATCCTAGCTATTGCAAACAGTGCTGCAATGAACATTGGGGTACATGTGTCTCTTTCAATTCTGGTTTCCTCGATGTATATGCCCAGCAGTAGGATTGCTGGAACATATTTCCAGTTTTTTAAGGAATCTCCACACTGTTCTCCATAGTGGCTGCACTAGTTTGCATCCCCACCAACAGTGTAAGAGGGTTCCCTTTTCTCCACACCCTCTCCAGCATTTATCAACAATAAAATCTTAAGTCCAGAACAGCACATCAAAGTACAAATTTATTTTGATCTGAACTCAATTCAATTGTTCAGAGTAAATATCAACTAAATATTTATTTAACAAGAATTTCATCCCCTGAGAACTTAAAGTGGCTTTTGAGGAAAGAATTAGAATGGCTTTTCTCTTTTTTAAAAAATAGCCAAAGAACTTTGAGCTCAATTCCTTTTCAGTGAGTCCATTAATTTCTCTGAGTATATAGAATTATTCTCAATTCTCCCTCTGACCTTTTCCTGTTGAAAAGCTAAAAAGTTAAGAATCCGCCTCTAATATTTGCCCTTCAGTCTCACTCTAACACTGCAGGTACAACTGAAATTTTGGGAATCAAAACAAAATCATCAAGAAGCCCTGAGTTCCTTCATTCTTAAATATTATCATAAAAATTTCCACATATAGAAGGAAGAGAATTCAACAAGTCCCTGTATACTTAT